CGTTTTTTTATCTTTTAAAAATGATTTAAATACTCGCCATGATCAAAAATCTTTCTGAACAATCTTTTAATCTTCATGAGAGTTTTCATTCATCCCCTCTCCCCCCTATTTTTGAATGTGGTTTCTGTTCTGTCTTGGTTTTTTGTTTCAGTAAATGTTTAAACTGTGGTTTCACGGGATTCATTTTTAGGTAAAAGGATTTACACAGTTTCTTTTCTTTTCTTTTTTTTTCCAGCTTCTGTGACGCAGTTGCATCAATATAAATGAGAGATTGAGTTCCCAGAGCTTCAGCTGCAGAGTGAGRAGGAAGAGGAGGAGGGTAATCTAATCAGATCCCACAAACCTCTCAGTCATTAAACCGCCTCCAGGAAACACCAGGAGCTCCACAAAGAGCTGAGGATGATGCACAATAGGTCGAGCAAACACAACAGAAGTCACACCCTAGATTTAATATTTCTGCAAATGATATGTGTCTTTTTGTGTTTCTGATTAAAGATTGGTCTGAGGGGGGAAAATGAATAAGCCTGAAAGAGACAAAAAAATAAATAATAAATAAATAATAATAATRAAATGTTTTATCTACTCACCAAGGCAAATAAATACTTACAATATTGTTCTAGTCACGTGTATTATTGGTGAATATTGTTCATATTTGGCTAAATAAATATCCCATGGTAATCATAATTTTTATTCTGACAGCTACTTTCTCTAAAAACACTGAAACGCTTTGAAAAAACAACATTTTGCCAGTTAATGAAATTGATTGTTGTTCCACAGTCAGCCACTGGAGGGCAGTCTCATCCAGGCTTTGCTCCTGTACTAAACGTATTCATGTCCAGTAGTACATCATATCTGTTCTAATGTTCTGTTAAGGTTAATACAGTTTCCATGGAAATGAACTTAGACATGCACACCACATTAAAATAACATGTTCATTAAAACTGCATTATGATGCTGTTCACAGGGGGTTCTATTGGGTTTGACTCTGCTGTGGACGTCATTGCTCTTTTAGGTTCTCTTATATACCAGAAACAATAAATTGAACATGAACATTCACCMCCTTTATGTAGGTAAGTACTGTGTACTTACCTGGTACAGACTGGATATTACCGGTACAGGGCACTAGAGGTAAATAGAGGACAAACAGTGCTAAAGTTTGCATTAATATTTTTGCTTGTTGAATTCGACAAGGTGGCAGATTCTGACTGTGCATCTATAAGAAACACATAAATGCTAAAATCATGATAATGTCACATTATGCATGATTCATTATTTAGACTGACATTTAGAAAAAACACTATCCTTATTAAATCAGTCATCCATTTGTGTTTCAGCTAAATTTATTTTATGAATGTTGCATTTTCTATTATATGCCTTTAAGAGCAAATAAATTGCTATAGTTTATGGTGCCCTTGTTTTTTTTAATGGATTTAATCTGTTGTATAATTGTAGTTATCTTTTTTCCCAGAGTTTTTCAGTTTTCCCCCTGCTGCTCTTGTTCAGTATGTTTCAGTAAAACTGTTTCTTGGCTCATGCTTGCCTCCTGCATGTCTGAATTTAGGTCCTTCTTCCAACATCCACCTCCAAACCACAGCAGTTATTGTCACGACAACACACACACACACATACACACCTACACACAGACACATACATGCACACACACACACAATGCATAGACAAGGAAGTTTTATTTCATTTCCTGCAGTCGTATATTTGTGGGTACAAATTGTATTTTCTCACATCTTTTTTCAGTAACCCATGATGCATTGCATCCATACATTTGTAGCTCAAAACAGCTTTTACAAAAAAAAGGATATACAATATATACTTATATTTATATTTATATATATAATAATATACATGTGTTTCTTTCTGCATTTAAATGTGTTTTTTTTTTCTTTTGATGAATTTTAGAAGCTTTTAAAAAACACACAGCCAAGTGGAAAGAAAGGTTGAACAGAAAGTCATTACCCAACATGTAATAGCCAGGTTATCAAAGTCATCAACTTTGGCTATCGTACACTTAACATGAAGCCCTTCAAACACAGTTTGCATATATTCCACAATTAGAGTCATGTAAATCCAGAGTGAYTGGCTTCTTTTGCTGTACTATGGACCCGCATGTAACAAGTATCACAGGTGGAACAAAAACACATCAGAAACAAGGGGTTGGTTTGTGGATTAATTCAGGTTTTCTTTAAAGCTTTTTTAAAAAAAAAAATAAGCGTCAGAGCGTATTTTGCTTTTATGATAACATGATATGAATTATATTAGGATTAGAGGATTTTAACTTTGTAATAAATATGTTCTGTGCAGTATATATTTTTTGCAGAATCATTCTTAAAAAATGAAAAGCAAAAATAAACATCCTCATTTTTCTGTGTATGGCTTCAATACGTAYGTCTTCAGCTCAGGACAACTGACAGAGGGCTCGTGCTTCCTGCATACAGTATATGGGTTTTTCCCTTGTCTGTCTGTTAGCAAAATATCTCATGAACCACTGAACAGATTTTAATAAAACTCTCTACAAACTCTCAACAGCTAATTAACTTTTGGAGTCAGCTCGATTCAAGATGGCTGCCACAAATAATGAAACAAAAATGGCTATAAATCAGTCGTTTTTAAAGATATTAAGCTGAAATTTGGTGTGGTAGTAGCTTGGACTTATCTTCAACATATACTCTCAGTACTAACAAAACACATAAGTTCTTTGTTTAAAACCCTGGCATGCAAGGCTGCAAGTGACGAAGCTGCTTTCAGTGAAATTGTTTTGCACTGAGGTTGATATGGTTTTTTTTTTTCTACCAGGGTCTTAGTATCAGGAAAATGCAAATAAAGCAAGTGAAAGAGCAGCGTTGTAAACAAACATAGTACAGGAAAAAGTGTCACTCAGACTGTCACAGTCAATGCAAATGATAAGTCCACTGTGCTGTGTTGCATTTTGTCAACAGCATTTCTTCTGGTGTTCATCACTTCACATTATAGAGCTCAAAATTACATCTTTTTTTTCCTCAATACAACATAATAAGAATAATCGTGTGTTTATACTAATTGATCATCATTCATGTAAACATATTTAACCAGGTCATGCAAACAGTAGACCAAAACTTCTTCCACTAGAGGTGCACAGCACAGAGCAGGCGGAGCACCCAGACTGAGATCCCTCCGACTCAACGTGAGCCGGAATCGGGCCAGAATGAGAGACGGACAGCTGGCGACTGTTTGGTCTCTCGTCAGAAATAGAATGAACAGAACGAGCGTGGTGTAACGTAATGAAAACTGTCCTCMTGGCATGATGAGAGCTCATGGATATGAGGACTCATATGGGGATCTCAGTTTGAGCCTCTGGTAACAGAATAGCCATAAAAAAACAAACAAACACAAGAGTCTTCTTTTGATATTCATACATTTCAGTGTGTGTGTGTGTGTGTGTGTGTGTGTGTGTGTGTGTGTGTGTGTGTGTGTGTGTGTGTGTGTGT